AGCCAAGTGGTTAGATGGTGTAGTTGTGAAGGCCGGGTACGGGAGACGCATGGCGGATTGGGCTAAGTCATTGACTTTAGACCAATTCATGGAGATGGTAGAAGCTCGATGGCATAACCCACAGGAGGCTCAAAGGGCCATTGATGCCATTAACAAACTTGACCAACGCAAGTTCAGGTCAGTTAGGGAGCTTACGACTACCGTCGAGAGCCTGATCCTCGTCCCAGGCATCAACTACAGTAACCAGTTCCTTTTAACCACGTTTGTTAGGTGTTTACCTGAGAACATGAGGAACTTACTAGCCAGTGAGGCACGCACTGAGTACCACTCATTTAAGACATTGTCTAGGAAAGCTTTAGACTTAGAGGCCACGCTAGGCAATGCTCAACCCACCTCAGGGAATGACTCAACGAAGAAGAAGAGTCCTCAGGAGTGGAAGAAGAAGGGGGCGAAGTTGATGATGGTTGAGTCTGATGGGACTCAAACTGAAATCGATGAGCTTTCTGACCTGATGGACTACTCAGAGTATGACGGCGAGGAGGTAGCTGAGGGTAGCACCCTCGCCGCGGTAGTTAAGATTAAGGCGGCAGGCCGAGGGAAGGGCCAGCCTAGGGGTCAAGGGAAGGCCGCCTCCAATCAGACCAAACAGGCTTAGTGGACTAAGGCAGGTCTTGATCAAGACGTGTGGCGTGACCGCCGATCGCGTCGCGCCTGCATCAACTGAGGGGAATACGGACACACGCAGTGGAAGTGTCAGAACGCTAAGGTTACGCAAAAGGTTGCTCCAAAAGTAGGGAGAACCTACTCCCAGGCTTCTAGCTCGGGAAACGCGTAGGGCCAGTGGAAGTAGTACCGGCTTCTACTCAAGATAAAGTGGGAATGATACCCTCCTCACTTCATGACAAGGCCGAAGCTAATGACTCCTTAGTCACCCCGCAGACACAACCTGACCAAACTATGCTTTGTACGTTAGATGTGTCTGAGGCCTTAGAAAACTTAGAAGGCGAGTGGTCAAACAAGGACCCTCGCGAGTCTTGGGTGTCGCTAAAGAAGGGTCCTAGAGGGGAACATTTCGTGGTGGAAGTGGATGTAGGAGGCCGCAAATGTGGAGCCTTCATAGACAACGGATCCACGCGAAATTACAAAAGTCGCGATTGTTGGAAAGGCTGCACCTACAGGACCGGGTACGGCACCTTAGTAGACCAGTAGCATCTTCTTTGGCCAACAAAGAGCGCATGATTGTCACAGACTACATCAAGGACGTAGTCTGTACCTTTTCCTATGGAGGAGGAGAGCTTAACCATAAGATCTCGTTCTTGGTTAGCGACGACCTGCCATTCGAAATGTTGTTAGGCATGTACTACCTCGAAGTTGCTAAGCCCCAGTTCGACTGGGATAAGAAGGTGCTTAAGCATAAGTTGCCCGATGGCCGAACTGTCAGATTGACTAAGTTCAAGGCCAGCAGTATTGTAGATACCTATGGCTGCTTGTGTGCATCAGCGTTCTATAACTACTACAAGCAAAACCAAGAGGAAGGTATGTACCTYGTTTATGTCTCTGAGAAGGGGGAGGCCGTTAAAACACCCCCAGAGATAGAACGCGTCGTTGCTAAGTTCCCTGATTTGTTCGAGGAGCCCACAGGAGTTGTTGATAGGGAAGTCGTCCACGCTATAGAAATCATTCCAGGAGTAAGACCCCAAAGGGAAGGATTTATAGGATGGCCCCTGCCGAGTTAAATGGACTTCGGAAGCAACTCAAGGAGCTGACAGAGAAGGGTTGGATTCGGCCAAGTACTTCCCCTTACGGATCACCTGTGCTATTCGTACCAAAGAAGGGGGGTACTTTGAGGATGTGCATTGATTATAGGGGCCTCAATGCCATCATGGTGAAAAACGCAGAGCCTCTACCTCGCATAGACGACCTATTGGATAGGGTGCAGGGATGCAAGTACTATACAAAGATAGACTTGAAATCCGGATATCACCAGATCGCAATAAGACTTGAGGACCAACACAAGACCGCTTTTCAGACTAGATATGGTCTGTATGAGTTTGTAGTGATGCCTTTCGGTCTTTGTAATGCGCCGGGTACGTTCCAGCACGCTATGAATCGGATCTTCCATGACCATTTAGATAAGTTTGTCGTGGTCTACTTAGACGACATTCTGATCTTTAGTAAGTCTGCCGAGGAGCACGCACAGCATGTTGAGACAGTTCTCTCATTCCTGCGACAGCACAAGTATAAGGTCAACTTAGAGAAGTGCGAGTTTGGCCGCACTAAGATACTATACTTGGGTCATGAAGTATCCGCGGAGGGGATTAGGCCGGAAGATGCGAAGGTGGCTAGTATTCGAGACTGGCCACGACCTCAGACAGTCACTGAGGTCAGATCATTCTTAGGAATGTGCGGCTACTATAGGAACTTCGTAAAGAACTATTCTACAGTCGCCTCTTCTTTGACTGATCTAACTCGACTTGACACACCGTGGGACTGGAGTGATGAGTGCGAGGGTGCGTTCAAAAGATTGAAGCATGCACTCATGAATCATGAAGTTCTCATGGTTCCCGATCCGCAGAAGCCATTCATAGTGACCACTGACGCAAGCCAATACGACATTGGCGCAGTGCTGGCTCAACAGGATGGGAAAAAGTTGAGACCGATTTAGTACATGAGTAAGAAAATACCTTCGAAGAAGCTGGCTAAGTCCACCTACGAAAGGGAACTCTATGCTTTCTACAAGGCACTTGTCCATTGGAGACACTTCCTTTTGGGAAGGTTCTTCTATCTGAGGACTGATCATCAGACCCTCAAATGGATCAAGACTCAACCGGTTCTTTCTGATGCACTCAAGCGATGGATTGAGGTCATAGACCAATATGACTTCAAGCTTGAGTACTTGAAGGGAGAGTACAATAAGGTTGCAGACGCGCTATCCCGTAGAGAAGACTACCTAGGTGCGCTAGTTTATGAATTTGGCGTATCTAATGAAGTAAGTCAATCATTGGTGGGAGCCTATCAGGAAGACCCTGTCACGATGGACATCATCCGCAAACTTCAGGCGAAAGACAAGGCCATGGTGGATGGGCTAATCTATCTTGATAAGGCCGGAGTAAAGAGATTGGTAGTTCCATCTAGTGAACAGTTGCGTAGTTTATTTTTAGGCGAATGTCATGACGCAACTGGGCACTTTGGCTACAAGAAAACGAGTGCTAACTTAGTACAGCGATTTTGGTGGCCCAGAATGTTAGATGACACAAAGAAGTATGTTGAGACCTGTCAGGTCTGTCAGCGGGACAAGCCGCGAACTCAAGCACTGCTTGGGTTATTGAAGCCTTTACCTATTCCTGATGGTCCAGGATTGAGTGTTTCCATGGATTTCATGGACACCCTTGTGACCAGCAAGAGTGGTAAGAGGCACATTTTCGTCATCATTGACCGATTCACCAAGTACGCTAGACTAATTCCAATGCCAGAGATAGCCAGGACGGGATACGTCATCAAGTTGTTCAAGGACAACTGGGTAAGGGACTTTGGTTTACCAAAGACCATCATTAGTGACGGAGACGTCCGATTCACAAGTGAGCTGTGGAAGAAGACTGCAAAACAGATGGGCAGTCAACTTCAGATGACTTCAGGGAATCATCCCGAAGCCAACGGACAGGCCGAACAAATGAATAGAGTTGTACAGCACTTGCTGAGGCACTACATCAAGCCCAGCCAGGATGACTGGGATGAGCAGTTACCTCTCATCACCAGCCTGTACAACAATGCTATACATAGTAGTACCGGCGTCAGTCCTAACCAGCTGCACTTAGGATGGAAGCCTAGATCAGCATTAGACTTCCTCCTACCTGAAAACCGACCTGCTGCAACTCCAGGCACACTTGAATACGGTGTGCAGTATGAGAAGTTGCTGCAAGAGGTTGTTGAACACATGAAGAAGGCTCAGCAAGCCATGATTGCTTCTGAGAATCAACATCGTACACAATCCACATTTCAGGTAGGGGAACGTGTCTGGGTCAAGGCTAGTGAGTTAGGACAGGAATTCGGAATATCTCGCAAACTAATGCCTCAATACTTTGGTCCCTGGGAAGTCTTGGATGTAGTGGGAGATGAGTCGGATGGTCCCACATATGTCATTCGTGTCCCTGGACACCTACGCACTCACCCAGTCTTTCATGCCTCAAAGCTTGCACCTTTCGCTGAGACTAATCAATTCCCTTCCAGGAGATCGATGCGGCCGCCAACCATGGATGGACAAGTCGACATCGACGACATTGTGGATCACAGGGATATGCCTGTTCCGAAGCCGCTGGGTCGAGGAAGACCTACTAAACCCAAGAGGGAGTACCGGATCAGATTCAGGCATCATACGGATCCTAAAGAAGATCGGTGGTTTACCCGGGAGGAACTGATGGAAACAGCTCCTCAGGTGGTGGCAGATTATGAACGSAAGYWAAAAGGGAAGGCACCTGCGAAGTAAGCATCTCAGCGGACTTTCGAAGCTAAGGGGGATGGAATGTGAGGATTGAGCCCTCAAGTAGCGACCTTGCCATGATGTACATGTTCTGGGCTGAGGCCCCAGCAAACCTAGTGCCCGCCCTAAGTGAAGGCGGGCCAGCAAATCAACAAGAGCCCTCTTAGCCAACATTTCACGAAGTGGGGTCTATACAGTTGCGGCACG